CCCCAAAACCCCCAAAACCCCAAAACCCCAAAACCCCTGGCATTGACAAATATATTGACAAACTTAATATTTTAATAATATTCCTTCCTCTTCAATTCATTTATTTAATCTAGTCGGCATACTATTTCAGATCCTTTTTCTCAAATCGTCATTGAGATTATCCCAATGATCGTAAATAGCCTTCCTTAATGAATACAAAGTTGTATAAACCTTGTTTCCCATGCTTGTCTTCATTAATCCCCAAACATTTTCAATAGGATTTAGGTCTGGAGAATACGCAGGCCAAGGTAACTTTACTACATTTTCTTTGTCTAAATAGTCTTTAACTTCCTTAGAGTTGTGATAACTAGCATTATCCATGCATAAATAGATTTTTTCTCCTTCAAACAATTTAGTAGCTTCAGTCAGAATCATCCCAATGATCTCAATAAATAATTCTGAATTCATTTTCTCTTCAAAGGCATGCACTGGCAACCTTCCTTTTGCTCAGATAGCACCCAAAACATTTAACTTTGTCCCTTTTGCTTTGTTTGAATAATAATTGAGTTGGGACTTGTGAACCCATCGTTTTCTGTTCCAAGCTGAATTTATGTAGAAGGTAGATTCATCTAAAAATATTACAGATTCCCAATTAACATCTTGATGCTTTTTAGCCCAATCTATTCTGTTGGATCTTTGAACTTCTCCATTCAACACTTTATTATTTGGAAGAGTGTAAATAAACCCTGTAGACAGTAGAATTCTCCTCACAGATGATGAACTCAGCTTTATGTCATATTCTTCCATCAATATAATTTTTATCCTTCTAATAGATATATTGCCTTTATGCTCTTCCATTATGTTATTCAAGGCTTGCACGTGAGTGCTATCAAGCTTAGATTTTCTTCCTGAGCCTTTTAATCTCTTTATATTACCTGTTTTCTTATACAAGCTATATAGATGATAAACCTGGGTTTTCTTTAGTTCTACGTAATTGTTTTTAACTATTTCACGAGGCTTCATGCCTTTATCAAATAGCAATTCTAACAATTTTCTTTTGTCATTATGCATCTGCTTTGCTTCATCAGGGCTGTGCATTGCTGAATCTGCAATTGGTAATAATTCTCCAATATCTCCGTCTTTATCTATTTGTGCTTCAATCTCTTCATCAACAGGGGGGATTGCTAAATACTCTTCTTGTGTATTATAAGTAGCATTTTCATCCGGATTATGTTCACTATTACTTGAGCTGGAGTCGCCAATAATTCTCTCTTCTGAAGTGTCACTCAAGTTCTTTGTCTCCTCCTTAGGCTGACTGCTACTCTTGGGTTGTACTAACTCTGAACTAATTACTTCTTCGTTGGGTGCATATTCGGAATCTGGGTCTGAACTAACTCCTGATGATGACAGAGCTTCACTTTTATACATATTAGCAAATATATTAATTTAATTACTATTATAGTTTTATCCATCCGGGGTTTTGGGGTTTTGGGGTTTTGGGG